TTGTAACGATATATATGATAACGAGAATGTTAAATAAATTATTTACACAATTAGTTTAGCGCGTTAAAATCTGCACCATTTTCTCCTGTTAGGGTAACATAAATCGCCTTGGCCGCGAAGTGGATTGCGTTCTGTAGTTTCTTTTGACCCAGCAGGTTGCAGGTCAGAAAAGATTTGGCTTCCGAAACCCAAGTGGAAACAGGCCAACAAGTGCAGTTCCTTACGGCGATCATGTTACCACCGCATTTACAGCTTCATTAGGACCATTATACCAGAGTCAACCGTATTTACCCAAAGACCCAAGGTCTAATCTAGAATAACAAAATACGGTGTGTCCTAAACACCGAATATCTTGAATTATTACCTTTCGCTTGGCAACGTACAATTTTGTTTACCGCGTGTGCATCTAAAACGTTTACCGAAAAAAAGAAGGAGAAAAAGAAAAGATAAAAGGAAAGGCATGTGCTTCGATAAATAATCTACGAAAATATGTAGGTCAAAAGTTAAACGGCAATAGCCGGGACCAACCACTGTTGCCTATTTATACGAAGAGGATTTTTTGTCCGGACCGTGTCCTAAACATCACATCCGCCGAGGTGCTTCCTCCGCGGACCGTGTTTTACCGCGATCGTGGCTAACTGATGAAGGAAACGCAGCAGGAAAGACGGAGAAAGAACGCGAAAGGAACCACCGCCTTACTTTCAGCAGCTTCAAACATCCGCTGCACCAGCCGCCGCCAGATCTCGTTTACCTCTCCTTCGTTTCCCCTTTAGCTCCTTCTCAAAGAGACACACGCGTTCCTTCCTCTTCCTTCTCCGTTTCTCTTTCTCCTACGCCCTTTGATTTCCAGGATCGAACAGACCATGATAGCGACGTTTAACAAGATTGAGAAACACCCACTGCAAGCTAAATCTAACGAAGAACTCACACGTGTAAGTACCAGTATCTATAATTCGTCACGTCTCACGTGTCGCGAGAAAATTACGAATTTTGACAGAACGCTGAAACGAAATAAGAACGAAGTTACGTTAGAGGTAACTACAATGCTGTATTCTTGATACTGCTATACCAATACGAAGGATGTCCTATGATTTTTTTTCTCGAATGCGTCGATAGATCAAATTAATCGACGAAGTTTTACACGTAACATTGCTTTCTCTCGGATCTAATCCCTCAATTCGTGCGACACCAAAACGACCTCGACATCATTCATCTTAGTATCCAGCAATGTTGGGTATTACGTCGGATGTAAGACACATCTGGAGCGAACCGAGTGGACACGTCGACCTCCTTCGAGGAGTGGAGAAACAAGAAGGGGGATGTCCGTCGCGCGTGAACGGTGAGACACGTACCCACGTGCAAGGCTATGTCTTGAATCACCAGCTGCCGATTCCCCGACAACTCCAGGAACCCTGGAGACGTGTACTAAAATTAGCAACCAGCACCCCCGCCTAGCCCTTACATGGCCACGTCACGGGCACACGCGCGGCTACTTTCAGAGGAAGAAAAAAAAAGAAGGTGGAGGAAACAATAATAATCACGGTCCGAGCGGCACGAGTCGATTGTGCGCGAAATGTCACAGCTGGTGCAGCCGGGTGACCAATCATTCGTACAGCCCAGGATCGACGATAAACGTGTCACCCATAAGAAACGGTCAACGCGTATACGACTACGACATAAATAGTTTAATCACCGTCCGACTACAAATATAACGACAGATAAATTATTTCCCCGTTATTGGGATCGACCTTTACTGGCCACCGGCCAATAAATTCGTTGAACGCCTTTGCCGGTTATTCATAAAACTGTGAATAAAGGAGTATGGTTATCGTTGAAGAATGAGCTTTTCGAGAAATCTCTTACGTTCGATTCCTCTGTTTTCTTGTCACAAAGACAGGAAGTAATGCAACTCACGGACCACATGGCTCCTGCATGAATGAACAACGCAATGAACGAACCTGTGCTACTTATGATAAGGCAACCCACCCACATCGGTGTCCTTGTTAAAATGTATCACAAGTTACGTGAGGATGGTTAGTTTCATCGCACTTCGTTCTTCGTAAATAGCCAGGCACGTTTGATCGTCGATGTTTTAACGATAAAAAAAAAAAGAAGATCGATAAACATTTCGCCATTCTCCCCTTCCCCTCTCTCCCGTCGACGTTATTGCAGGAATGTTGAGAAGTAAAACCTACCCAGATGTCTGGAAATGGTCAAGTTTGATTTTCGTTTAAACTAAACCGCCCGGTTTCATGTTCTCCCCCGCGATCGATCTTCCGTCAGGCAAGAATCCGTGGAATCTGTTTCTATCGCGTACACTTCAAGTTCATTGTCCTCGATATCTGGTAGGCCATAGAACCCCGAAACGAGAGATCCTTTTGGTCTCGTCGTGGTACTGGAGCTCCGTTCCAAGTACATCTGCGCCGAGCGGATGCAGCCTGCATTTTATGGCCGCCCAATGCAACCGATTCTTATTCGTGCACCCGTACCCACACCCTCCACCACTTTCAGCACGCGGTACAACGACTTCTATAATTAGATTTCCTTCCCTTTAGCTTAGACACCTTCGAGCATAATCTCCATTTGCCCCGCGAATCGCACAAGGCCCACCACCTGGTTGCAAACGTCGCCGTCGTCGTCAAAGGTTCCGCCGTTTAAAGCGGCGAGTCTTCCGTTTATCGATGCCTTGAAAACCATCACGCTGTCGATTTCTGAATTCTTCTCCTTTTTTTTTTTTTTTTTTTTTCGATGCACGTTCAATCGAACACGATAGAATGTTATCGTTGAAAAGGTCGGATCGACCTATTGATAGAGAATATCCGAAAATAATCGACTTGTTAACCCAATCGGCGTCGAAGTTAGCATGTCATTACGACTTGTGTCACGTTTTGTATTCGAATGCCGATCACGATGCCGGTATTCCAATACCGATCCATCGCGTTCAACTAGCTGACATTAACAACGCGCGCTCACCACCGCGCGTTACAGGTTTCACGCCAGCTATTTCGAACAGGTTGCGCTCGGATCTATTTTTTGATCATTGGCATCGACCGGATCCACGGATCCACGCTTCTGATGACAGGTAGCCAGAAAAATAATTGAAACGACGACGATTAAATCGAGGCGCGCGATCTATAAATGCTGTCTCACGTGCCAAGAGGCGGCATCCTCGTAATTATAAATGGTTAATCGCTGGTGATTGGCCAGAAGTTTGCAAAATGGCCAAAGTTTCAATTTCGTGAATTCATGCTGATCTAAAGTGTCGCAACATGTATTTCATTTATCTTCCCTTCTCGTTATCGTTTCAACGTTACTCGGTTTATTCACTCGGTGTGTGTGTGTGTACGATTGTGATTTGTTAACGTAAAGTATATTCATTATTATTTAATACATTATCGTATGTTTACAAACGGGAGCAAAAGTTGTCTATTTCACTAATGTCACTGCGAGCATCTTATATAAAGGTGTCGTTAAACGCTCTTGACACGAGCCTCCCGTTTTCCTCATTGGCAAATCGTACTTGGTCCTCCGGGATGACGATAATCGAGTCCCCGAAAGAGACAATTCTCGTGCAATAAATTATGAACTCGTGTGATATATTTCCTGCGTAACGGAGGAAGGAATCCATCAGGGAGAAATTTTGAAATTAATATCCCTGAACTGAAAGGAGGAATTTGATTGTGCAACAATGGCGCTTCTTTCAGAGCATTGCCAAGTTCGTAATCGTCAGAGAAGTAGTTGGTATAAATGATTACTAAAACGTCATGAATGAAATGTTTCTATATAGGATGTAACATGTGAAATGTGTGGTATTCGGAAAGGGTGACACATATTATACGCGCATTCGAAGATCGAGAAAAGCGGTAAACAGGTGAGACAACGGTACACGGTGTTCAACAGGGAAAAAATCATTAGTAAGATGGAAAAAATAGACTAAAAATTTTGTACTACAAGCCTCGTGGACTTTGCACGTTGTAGCAGCTTGGCAACCCGATACGATCCGTCCCTGATCTGCATGCAAATACGAGCTATACTTAGAGA